GAGTGGAATCTTCAGTACAGGTTATCTGGCTTCAGATATTGGCACACCAGAATTGGCACTGATCAAAATAACTGCTGGGGGTTGCAGAGAAGAAACACGGCTCCCCTCCATGTTCCCAGTCTTCATAGAAGACCCTCAGATGCTTCTGGAACCCTGCCAGTTATCAGTGAGAAACCTGATTCATAGGCAAAGGTTTCTAATGATGACCTTACTTCCAAGATCATTTAAATTCAACATGCTGCATGCCATACTATGTTATGTAGATACCTACCCATGAAGACAGATGTACGCAGCAAAAAACGAAGTGAATTAAGATGAACACGTGAACACAACTATCTGAAAATACCACCAAGAGATTAAGTACATAAAGCTACCAGTAGGCAGATTTAGCTAGGGTATTAGGAGCCAGACTCCTTTGGTATTAAACAGCTAACTTCCTCCATAGCAAATTGACTTGATCTGGAAGGCTCATTTGAAGGCATAACAGAGGCTGAGGTAAACCATACTGGGTGGCTGTGAGCCCTTTTGGAACCAAGGGGGGAGGGGTAGACAGGCAAGCTGTTTTTCTTTTCTTTTCTTTTTTTTTTTTTAAACCAAGAAAACAATCCACTGGTAAGTCTAACTGCAGATCTGACTGGGCCTAAGTTTAAGTAGCTTAATAAAACCACTAATTACTTGTTCTGTTCTTTTGTAGAAGATATACAATTTAAATAAGCTTTGTTTTATGCAGGTCAACACRAAGTTGGTACTTCCCTGGCTGCTCTGCTTTACCTTCAAAATGGTCACTCACTATAGGGCTGGGGCTGTAGCTCAATGGCAGAGCGCCAGGCACCCTTTGATCCTAAGCACTGCATAAAAATAAATATTAAAGGCATGCTGTCCATCAACAACTAAAAAAAGGCGGGGGGGGAGGGGGGGTGTCAACATCAGTATAAATAAAGCAGTGCATTTTTCCAGGCCAAAAGGCCTAGACAAGTGACCAAATCAATTTGGCTGCTTTGAATTTTTAAGCCAAATTATACTGTTCCAAATTATACATGTTCAAGCAGGTGATACTGACATACCCTTGATACAAGAGAAATCACTGTGATGAGATATAAATGACAATCTGCTCCCCCCCCCCCTTACTGAGATCTGTTTTAACCCAGGGTCTCCCACAACAAGCTCTACAGCTGAACTACTCAGCCCACTCATTCACTGTTCTGACATTATTTTACCAGAACTTGGAACACTAAGCATGGAGTTTGTTGTAAAGTTCCAAAGCCTGGAGAGTATTGGGAAAGGTCTCCTTAGAATTAGTTGGCTGGCCATTATATTAATCCATTTAAAGTACCCCATATCTCATACACCCCTGCCCTAGCAAATCTGCCTCAGTTTTACAGCTAACATTGAAATACTGGGAGCTAAAATATGAAGAGAATACTGCCCAATGAGATCTCCACCCTCAGGCCATCTATGTTAGTAACAATGTTCTTCCCTTTTAAAAATGCAGAAGCCACTGAACATAGGCGCCTCCTAGCACATCAGTGAGTGGGTTGGTTGTTTAAATTTAACATCTTAACAGTGTTTGAGCAGAGAGGGTCAGAGTCCAGGAKAGCAGAAACCCAAGTGCTGGATCACAAAGCAACAGCATCATCAGACTCCTCTGCCCTTCCGCTGTGCTCAGTTCTGATTCCCAGGACAAAGAAACCCTGGGAGAAGGATGTCTGGGAAATGGTCCAAGCCGAAGGGGTAGGTTTGCAAACTGGCCTTGAAACCTGTTATACATGCTTCTATGACTCACCTAAACAAGTCTGATAAAATGTATCTTGACTGGGACTTATCTATGACGTCATATGTACAATTTTGTTTTACAGTAACAAATTCATAGCAGGTCATTGCCCCAGATAATCATTGATCTTTTTATGAAAGAAAAGATTCTCACAGAAGAGCTTTTAAGACTTCCACGTTTCATACACCAGAAATGAAGTGTTTAAAACTGATCACTGATAACAGAAAAGCTGCATCTGATTAAGTCAAAAAGCATCAACAGTCCGTCTTCTGGCTTTGTAACTGTACCAACAGGAACTCTCAACAGTGCTCAGTAACAATCAAATTTCCCATGCCCACAGCCACTAAAATTTAGTAAATAACATTCTCTAAGGAGTTTCAGTTAAGAAAGGAGGGCACTTTATAGGAAATGTCCTAGCTGCATTTGCTTTCTGTGTTATATTTAAGGTTGTTTTCTATTTTCTTTGATATTGAACATTGAGACATTTAATGGCACTGATACAAACTCAAGCAAAATAAACTTCAACTGAATATGCAAACTTACCATTATATAACACTTTATGATCACAAATCAACACTAAAACAAATTCTGTAAGTATTTTATTTATCACTGAAGAAAAAACACAGCAGCAAGTTCTGTGTTGGCGTCAATAAGACCAAATAGTTAATCTTTAACATAGCTACTACACTCCAAAAATTGAAGTCAACACAGTCATTACTACAAATTACTTGTTGAAAGAATCTATTCTGAAGAAAAAGGAAATTAGGAAAAAGAATTTAAAGAATTCCTCCAAATCACACATTTATAAATATTKTCATATTTAAAATGCTTGAAAGGCATGAAGTCTCCATTAATGGAAAAGCAGTTTGCTATTGGCAACAGAAAAAAACAGCGATAGTTTACCAAATGCTTTAAAATTTAAAAGCTRTACTGTTTTGGGTTTGCACTTGAACAGTATTGTCATTACAATAATGACTGCAAATTGCTTTACACTCACCTCTTCTTAAGTAAAATCTACAGAAAATCCCACTGTATCCAATGTCTGTAATATTTACTGCACTTACAGTGAACCTAAAAACTTCCTAAATTTAGTTAATAGTAAATACCTCAAAATACCTAAAGAGGTATGTTTCAACCGCTAATGGTGTGAAAATTGTTTCAGATCCACTGGTTTAAAGGGTCTTCGAATACATTTTAACAAAAGCTTAATACCTCATTCCAAATTAATATCAGATATTTCAAAATCAAACAAAAAAATATCAGTTCTATACCAAGATACAGGTGTTACTCCATACCCGACGGGTTCACATTTTAAATTTATTTTTTAGTTTTTCTCTTTTGTAAACAAGTGATTGATGAAATAATGCAACACCTTAAATTCCAGAAAATGGCATGGTTTTCCAACCTTCTGTGGWTACGGTGCATGATCAATCTATTATATAGGATTAATACGAGTTCATGCTTTTTGTGTTATGGTGAAACAACATTAAAGAATCCAATTTAGATTGGTTGAAGAACAAGTATAATAATCCTTGAATGTGATCAAACCTATGTAAGACAGAGTCTGATTCCACCATCTTGGGACTTAACGTCGTACTGTGGTCCATCCATCTTCATCAGTCTCATTTTTAGTACGACGAAGGGATTCCCTATCCTTCTCAGCTCTCCATGAGGTCTTTTCTTTTTCACCTTCTCGGTCTCGGTCTCGGTCTCGGTCCCGGTCCCGTTCCCGTTCCCGTTCCCGTTCCCGGTCCCGGTCCCTTTCTCTCTCTCTTGAAAGAGCTGGGGGAGGAACTCGGCGAGGTGGATCCCGCTCTTCTGCCCGGTCATCTTTCCTATCATCAGCACGTCTCCAAGAGCTCACTAAAAAGTTCAATTTAGAAAATAAAACTTAAGGAATACTTCCCACACTGAAGATTTAACAGTACAGAATCACAACTTWAAAAAAAAAAAAAAAAATCAATAAAAGTTCCACATATTTTAATTATTTTGACTATAATTCCTAAAAAAAAATCTGTAACATACTTAAGAGATATAACTCAAAATTTCAAAACAAACAGAAATCATTGGCCTGGGAAATATACTAGTATATTTAAAATTTTAATACAAAGTGATAAAACTCTGGCTGACCTGATGGGTATGTCACCACGGGCTTATAATCCCAGCTACTCTARTGTCAGGCAGGAGGATTGCAAGATCAAGGACAGTCTGGCCAACTTTAAACTTCATTAGCAAGACCCTTTCCCAAAAATTTTTAAAAGGACTGGGGGTGTAGCTCAGTGGTAAACTGCTTGCCTAGTATGCACAAGGCCATGGGTTCAATCCCCAGCACAGGGTGGAGGATACTAGGTGAATGGACATTGTTAAATTGAAAGCATTTGGGGCTCTTGTTGAAAAATTTAACAACAAATTAGCCATAAAAATATAAAATTTTAAATTAGGGCTATAAGAATAAACTTATAATACTGCTGTACAGGCAAAATACTAAAAGTGTGGGATTGGGGCTATAGCTCAGTGGCAGAGCAATCGCCTAGTACATGTGAGACACTGGGTTCTATCCTTAGCCCCACATAAAAATAAATAATAAAGGCACACTGTCCATCTACAACTACAAAAAAATGAATAAACAAATAAAAAATACTAAAAGTATGTGAGAACAAGTACTTAAGTGCAATGGGCATATTAAATACATTAAAATATTTTTTAACGTTTCAACTGTCAAAATTTCARAGAAAGAATTATTAAACTTTGTGCCAGGAAAGGAGAGCCAAACTTTTGTGAATTAAGATCTGCCAGGATCTTAATTCTAAAGTAACTGATTAAACTGCTTCTTCCTTTTTGCTAAATAAATTTCATCACTACATATTGCTCATTATCCAATTTGGTCTATTAATGCACTTTAAATTTAGAAATGAGCTTGGTCACAGCTTGACCATTAAGTGAATGAGAATCACAAGTTCTAAACTAAAATAGACTGTTTACCTGGTTTGGGGTATTGATGCATTATTTACAAAATAACTACATAAAACCCAAACTGCCAGAATRACTGTTCTCCAACACTCCAGCATAAATAACACTCATACCTTCTTCACGTTCTGATCTGAGGGGAGGCCCTCTCCGGTCTCTGTCATCTCTGAGATCTCTTCTTTCCCTTAGATCACGTCGATCATCTCTCTCACGACGACGATCATCCCTATCTCTGTCATCTCGGCGACTTGAATCTCTCCAGCTCGAAGATTCCTCAGCTGGTCCTCTTCTCCAGCCACCTTCATCCCTGTAACCATTTAAAATGACAAATTCTTGCTGAAGGTAAACTATACAGGCAATTTTAAGTGAACACATCATACCCATTCATAGTTTATGAATATATAAGGGACAAGGTTTAAACTCCTAAGTGGACCTCAGATACTGCACCCACGCTGGTTTCATTTACAGTTTATATAACCTGTAGATAGCTACACACAGTTTAAAACATTGTCTCATGAAAGGGATAATTCAATTATATGAACTCTAAAATTTTATTACATGATTTAAGAGATAAATGAGAAAGAAASGTTTCTTAAAACACAGTTTGGAATACCCGAAGAGTATTTAAAAGAATATTAAAACTGTAACTCTACAAACAGTTCAGTTAGAAACATCCAACTTAAAAATAAATTCCCAACCTGGGTCTTCTGAAGCGATCCTCACGATCCCCACCATCTCTCTCTCTGTCCCTCTCTCTTTCAGGGTCTTTCTCATTCTCCTCACGATCTTGATTGTCTCTATCCCTTTCTTTGTCTCTATCCCATTCACGTTCTTCTGATGGCCTTGATTCTCGAGGTGGACCCCAACTCTCTTCTCTGGCCTTTTCTTTCTCTCTCCATCCACCTATTTTTTTAAAAAATAAGCAGCAAAATATTTTTTCACTCAAGAAACAGATCAGTAATCATAAAGGTATGTTGACATTAACTCATTAATTTAGAATGATGAAGACACTCCAATTTCATTTAAAAAGAAAAATCCTAAAGCTRTTGTGTGTCACTGCATAGACTACCTGGGTTTATGTTTCGTAAAATAAAAACATCATTGAATTTTTACTGTAAACAAAGGTTTGGGGTATACAATTTGTCCTGAGGGTAAGTAGACTGTTCATTTTAGCAGAAAACCTAAAGAGCTTTCCTTGAGCATTAAAGCCCAAATTATGAGTCATTTATACCTTGCAACATTCTCAGAATCTTCATCACCAAAAAAGACTCTTTTCATATTCCTGTCATACACCACTTACCACCCACCATCTAGTCATGAAACAAGGACAAATGCTTTGATCCTGCCCCATGTCTTGCATGTAGCCATGGATCTGAAATCTACAAAAAGGTCAAAGGAAGCAAACATTTCAGTGRAAACTTATCATAGCTGTACCACAAATAATTATTACTGTCACCAACACAGACACTACCATAGGCAAAGCACTAACCTAAACCATATGCCTAAATTGCCTGGCTCAATCCTATCAATAGCTGAGTCGGTCTTAATATTATCAGATTCTGTGCTTGCTAAAAAGTAGCAACCCCAAAATTTAATCTTGTGGCACCTTGCAGTCACTCCAAAGCAGCAAAAATTGTGAGTCGCCCAATATACACGACCACAGCTAAAGTGGGCAGCACTTTGCCTTCTGGTTTCAACTCTTACTCTAACAAGTGTCCTTTCCAGGGATTATTTATTTAGTGCCTTGATACCTTTGTGATTTGCTACTGACTTCACTGTTTCAAACAACCCAAGCATACTACTGAAATGCTATCTAGTATCCCCAAGCACAAGAGCGCTATGAATGATGTCTCTTAGGGAGAAAATATATTATGTATCAAAAAAGCTTTGCTCAGACATGAGTTACAGTACTGTTGGCAGTGAATTCTATGCTCATGAAGCAATATTATGTTTCAAATAAGGTACCCTGAAAAAAACACATAAACATAGTTATTCTGACTGGCTAAAATGTGACCAGAGGCCCAAAGGAACCTAATGTTATATTTCCTCTAGGACTCCTCAGTACCTACTGTACAGTTAACTACATTTTACATGAGGCCCCAAAGGTCACTTGCCCAGGGTCAGAACAGAAAAGATAAAGATAGTAGAAACCAAAGATAAAGACGAGGAAGCTGTTCGCTTAGATCCAAACTTAGAATGGCTTTTTACAGCACAAAGAAAAGAATTGGGAGTAGAACCAGTGGAGATAAGTTAGTAGGTAAAAGCAAGACCTCAAAGAATTAYGGTGGCCCAGACCCAAGTTCAAGCAGATAGAATACAAAAGTGGATGGTTTTAAGGAACATCAAAAAGGCAGAACTATGGGCTGGGGATGTGGCTCAAGCGGTAGCGCGCTAGCCTGGCATGCGTGCGGCCCGGGTTCGATCCTCAGCACCACATACCAACAAAGATGTTGTGTCCGCCGAGAACTAAAAAATAAATATTAAAAATTCTCTCTCTCTCTCTCTCTAAAAAAAAAAAAAAAAGAAAAGAAAAAAAAAGGGCAGAACTAAACTGAATCAAAGATTAAAATAAAGGATGAAAAAGACCAGAGAAAGGAGAGCTCCCAAATTTCTAGATTATACAGTTAAGACAGTGATGAGCCGACAGAAAAGTAGGAGTTTTATACAAGTTGAGTCTAAAATGTCAGTGAGGTTTCCCAGTGGAGACGTACCATGTGTGAAAAGCAGTTGTTGCCAATGTGCAATATGCAGACATCACCTAAAGATGGTCACAAATATGTCATAGACACATACAACTATAGAAGGATCATAAAGTGAAAAAGATGAGTAGGCCCAGAACTAAAAAAACGAAAAGAGTTCTTCCATGTATAATCCTATGGTGGACAGGAGTCTGCATAAATATTTAATAACTGTACATTTTAAAGATCTATTTTCAAGAAGGCTGGCCTAAGATAGAACCTGAAGAACACTTAATACTTAAGTGATGGGAACAGAAAAATAGCATTCAAAGCAGCATCCAACTGAACAGAGAGAAAAAGAGCCCGACACCACTACAGAAGACAGTATCTGCTTTGGGGTGTGGAACAACAAAGGAAACTTTTGACATGAAATTGACTATATAAGGCATTTATGGGAAAAGATCCACTTATAAACAGAAAATGATAATATAGCTGAATGTCATTTATCCATTTAAATTTCATTTTCTGCAT